GTCTTTGCAGATGTAATCAAGCTAAAATGAGAACAACGACTGGTGTCCCCATCTAGTTGCTGTTGAGTCCAGCTGCTGTTGAGTAGATTCTGACTCACGGTGACTGCACGTGTGTCAGAGTAGAATTGTGCTACATAGTTTTCAATGGTTGATATATTTTTTCATTTTATTGTGATTTTGGTGAAAGCAAATTGGTTTTCCATTCAACAATTCATACATATTTTGTTTTGTGACATTGACTGCAATCTGCACAATGTAATAGCTCTCTTCCCACTTTCTCCCTGTATTTACAACTTTCCTTTGTCCTACTTTCCTAACCCTTCCTACCCTCTTAGGTTTATTCCTGAGCAAAAGTTGCCCTTTTTATCTCGTGTGGTTGATTGCTAATGAGTGCACACCTTTCTGGCATTACTATTCACCCTATAAGCTTATCATTGGCTGAATGTGGAGCCACAGAGTTTGAGTTCCATTCCCAGCTTGAAGGGGCTCTAATGGTTGTGATATCAGGGTTCTATCAGTCTCTATCAGACCAATATTCCCTGGTCTTTTTTTTTTTTTTTTAATGGTTTTGCATATTCTTTCACAATTTTCTCCTATCTGGGACTTCCTATTGGGATCCTTTTCAGAGAGGTCAGCAGTGATAACTGAGCATCATCTAGTTCTTCTGGTCTCAGGGTGGTGAATGCTGGGATTCATGTGGTCCATTAGTCCTTTGGACTAATTGTTTCCTTGTGTTTTGTACCTTCTTCACTCTTCTTTGCTCTGAATGGGGAGAGACCGATAGTTGCAGCTTTGATAGCCATTACAAGTTTTTAAGACCTCGGTTGCCACTCAACAAAGTAGGATGTAGAACATTGCCTTTGTGGACTGTGTTATGCCAATTGACCTTAGTGATCCCCAAGATTATAGTCCTGAACCCCATGCCCAATGAATGACTCATTCCTTCAAGGTGTTTGGTTGTGACTAAGAAGTTTTCATAACCTTGCCCCCTGTATGCTATATTATATTCATGGATATATTTGCAGCACATATACATATGAAGAGATAGCCTCTGTCAAACCTATATATATATTCATGAACATAGTTCCATTTTGCCCTGCCATCCCTGTTCAGCTTGAGTGTCTATGTATTCACTAGTAGATTATTGTTGTTATTATTATTGTAGGATCGTGTGTAACAGTATTCACCTTTGTTGCCTTTAACTCTTGTGCTCCTCCCAATGGCTGATTATTTTTTTGTTTTGTTTTAAATATTTTATTGTGACATGGTGCAAACTTAGAAAGCAGATTCATTTTATATTCTTTATGGAAGCAGACTGCCTCATTTTTTTCCCATGAAGCAGCTGATGGGTTCAAACCATTGACCTTTTGTTAAATAGCTCAATGCTTCAATGACTGCTCCACCAGAGCTCATTTTTAGGCCATCAGAGGCCACTTTGTGGCAATTTCTTATGGCAGCCTTAGGAAACTAATAGAAAGACATTCATGATTTTGCATTAGAATTGTCTTTGCTTGTTTGTTTCTCTCACTAGAGTGAGCCCTGTGAGAACAGAGGCTGTATCTTCATGATTTCCCTAACTTGGAACCCTGAATAGTTCATAATAAACATAAAGCAAATATTTGTTTAATGAATGAATAGGAAAAAAAATTTGATTACCTGAGAAAATGGTTCTCTAAGGAAGAGGGGGAAAAAATGTATGCCATTGGTCAGAAAAGTAGCCAAACACAAAACGGTAAAAACTATTTTCAGGTAACTGATATTGTCAGGTGCAAAGCTTCTTTCTTTATTTGTTTTACAGTGTTCCCTCCCACCTCTCCCACCTCTCCCATCTCTGGTAACCAACAAAGAAAAGTTCCTTCCGTATAGAAACCTTTCCTTTTTACAATAATGAACTAATACAATATTTGTCCTTCTGTGATTGACTTATTTCACTCAGCATAACATCCTCCAAGTTCATCCACATTATATGGTGTTTTGTACATTCTATATTATTCTTTAGTGCTACATAGTATTCCATTGCGTATATGTACCATAGTTTGTTTATCTGTTCTTTTGTTGATGGGCACCTATATTCTTTCCATTTTTTTGCTGTTGTAAATAGTGCTGTGATGAACATGGATGTGTATATATCTGTTCTTGTCCTGACTTTCACTTCTTTAGGATATATACCTAGTAAAGGGATTGTTGGATCAAATAGCATTTCTAATTCCAACTTTTTAGGAATTGCCATACTGCTTTCCACAATAGCTATATCAATTTACAGTCCCACCAGTAGTGTGTGAGAGTCCCAAACTCTACACATCCTCACCAGCATTTGTTATTTTCTGTCTTATTAAACTTTGCTAGTAGTGCTGGGGCAAGATGGTATCTCGTTTTGATTTGCAGCTCTCTAATGGCTAATGATCATGAACATTTCTTCATGTGTTTTTTGGCCACCTGAATATCCTCTTTGGTGAAGTGTCTATTCATGCCTTCTGCCCATTTTTTAATTGTATTGTTTGTCTCTTTTTTTGTTGTTGAAGTGTTGGGGTTTTCTATCAATTTTGGAGATAAGCCTCTTGTCAGATAAGTTGTTGCTGAATATTTTTTTTCCCAAACTGTAGGTTCTGTTTTCACTCTTTTGGAGAAGTCTTTGGAAACACATAAAAATTTATTTTTTAGAAAGTCCCATTTGTCTAGTTTTCTTCTGTAGTTTGTGCATTTTTGGTTATGCTTGGAGTCTATTTATGCTGTAAATTTAGGGCCCCTAACTTTGCCACTATTTTTTCCTTGAGGAACTTTATAGTTTCAGATTTCACATTTAATTCTGGAGTTAGTTTTTGTGTATGATATGAGGTACAGATCTTGTTCCATTTTTCTGCAAATGGATATCCAGTTTTGCCATCACCATTTGTTAAAGAGACTATCTCATCCCCATTTAATGGATTTCAGCCCTTTGTCAAAAATCACCTGACCATAGGTTGATGGATTTATTTCTGGGCTTTCAAGTCTATTCCATTGGTCTATGTGTCTGTTGTACCAATACCAGGCTGTTTTGACTACTGTGGCTGTATAGTAGGTTTTGAGATCTAGGAGTGTGAGAACTCCTACTTTGTTCTTCTTCTTCAATAGTGCTTTGCTTAGTGATTGGGTTTTCAATATCCTTAAAGAATGTTGATGGGATCTGGATTGGGATTGCAGTGAATGTATAGATGGCTTTGGGTAGAACTGACATTTTCACAATGTTCAATCTTGCTATCCACAAGCATGGTATGTTCTTCCATTTATGTAGATCTCTTATAGTTTTTCGAAGCAGTGTTTCTTGAAGCAATATTATTCACAAGTATTTTATATTTTGGTAGCTATTGTAAATGGCATTGGTTCCCTTATTTCCTTTTCAGCCATCTCTTTGCTGATGTAGAGGAATCCAACTGATTTTTGTAAGTCAATATTGTATCCTGCCACTATGCTAAATCTCTCAATTGGTTCCTGTAGTTTTCTTGCTGAGTCTCTTGGGTTTTCTATGTATAGGATCATATCATCAGCAAATAGGGATAGTTTTACTTCTTATTTACCAATTTGGATGCCTTTGATTGCCCTTTCTTGCTTTATTGCCCTGGATCAAACCAAACCAAACACTGCCGTCAAGTCAGATCCCACTTGGGTTTCCAAAGCAGTATCACTAACGAAGTAGAGTGCCCAACCTTCTTTCCAAAGAGCAGTTGGTGGGTTTGAACTGCCAGCCTTCAGGTTAGCAGTCAAGTGCCTTAGGCACTACACCACCTTCAATATAATGTTGAATAGAACTGGTTATAGAGGGCATCCTTGTCTGGCTCCTGTTCACAAGGGAAATGGTTTCAGTCTCTGTTGAGAATAATGTTGGCTGTTGGTTTTGCATATATGCCCTTTAGTATGTTGAGGAATGTCCCTTCTATTTCTATTTTTCTAAGTATTTTTTTATCAGGAATGGGTGTTGGATTTTATCAAATGCCTTTTCTACTTTGAATAATAACATCATGTGGTTCTTTTCCTTTGTTTTATTTATAAGATGGATAACGTTAATTGTTTTTCTAATGCTGAAAATTTGAAAATTGCATACCTGGTATGAACCCCACTTGGTCATAATGTATTATTTTTTCAATATGTTGTTGGAGTCTATTGACTAGGATTTTGTTGAAAATTTTTGCATCCTTATTCATGAGGGATGTTGGTCTGTAGTTTTCCTTTTTAGTGATGTCTTTGCCTGGTTTTGATATCAAGGTTATGCTTGCTTCATAAAATTAATTTGGGAGGATTCCATCGTTCTCTATGCTCTGGAGTAGTTTGAGTAGGAATGGTATCAGCTCTTCTCTTAACGTTTGGTAGAATTCTCCAGGGAAACTGTCTGGACTAGGGCTTTTATTTCTGTTGGTAATTTTTTTTTTTTTTTTTAATGAGCTGTTTAATTTCTTCTTGTGTGCAAAACTTCTATTTAACTCTTATACCTTGCTAAGGTATATGACAGCTGTTGTATGATAATTTTTGAAATAGACCAAAGAGTCCATGTAATTTTTTTCCTTTTATTTATTTTCAATTACAAGAGCTGCCCTAGGAGGTGATTATGATTTCATATTTGAACAAAATCAATTAGGTTAAATTGTAACTAAATCTTCACATAAATAAAAAAAAAAACCCAACATGTTGCCATTGAGTCAATTCCAATTCATGGTGACCCCATCTGTTACAGAGTAGAATTGTTCCATAAGGATTTCTTGGCTGTAATCTTTACAGAAGCAGATCACCAGGACATTCTTCTGAGGTGCCACTGGGTGAGTTCAAACCACTACCTTTTAGGTTAGCCACTAAGCAGAAACCATTTGTACCACCCCAAGACCTAAATCTGCAAATAGTTGATTTCTAATTAAACTAGCATATAAAATATGGAAAAAAAATTTTTAGCCTCAGGATCAACGATTTGGAAAACATTTCATGGCTGTAAAATTTTGGATTTGTCTTGCATGTGTTTGGCATCCATGCCTGCCTTATTTAATCTTGAAAATCTTTTTTGCTTCTTCTAACCTTTTTTCATCAAGGGGAGGCTTCCTCTGGCTGCCAGGCTGCAGGAACTTCTTCACTGTAGGGAGGTTGCTGACTCTGGCTTTCAGGGCCTACAATAGACAATAGTACAGCCTTAGAGTGGGGCCAAAAGACTCAACCAGGAAACCTGAGGCCTTCCCAAACAAGGACCAACTAAGTCCCCTCCATCAGCACCCAAATGGGAAACAGATGCCCAGAGGGAAATGAAGATAAAATGAAGGAAATATTGCTCAACAGCATCTTCCCCTGAACACTTTTGTTTAAAGATATTACTCATATCTCACTCTTTCCTATCTTCTTCCTCACAGAGACATTGTGTGTGCATTCATTGTGCTTGTACAATACATGGAAGAATAACGTGTCTGTCTTCAACACTGATAAAGTCAACAAAGAACAGAAAGGAAAATTGAGCTGGAATGAAGACAGAGAAAAGTAAAAATTATAAACCATGGGGCCAGTTGAAACTAATTTTTTCAATGAGAGATTAAAAGCAAGGCTGGGGCAGAGGGGACCCTTTCAGAGAGGAACCCAATGTCTGAAAGACAGAGCAGGAGCCAAAAGTAGGAAATCAGAGGGAAAGAGAGCTGCTCAGCCAGACTCAGAAGTGGGAAGAGAAGACTACACCTGGGATAAAGGAAATCGCAGAGAAAAATTAGGCCAGAGGCAGCAATGGAAGAGGACTGGGCAGAGAGATGCTGAGTCATGGGTCCTTCTCATGATAAAATACTGTTCTTGGATTACCATCCGTTTCAAATTTCTTTGGCTAAACATCTTTCATGCCTCAGATCCAGGATCTAGAAGCTAATTTTGGTGATATAAGGGAAAGTGAAGGCCCAGGGAAGGCTGGGGTTCAGAACATCACCAGTCCAAGGGTCCATATATTAGATTCCCATAAAGGAGGAGTGGGGCTTCCTCTCCTGGGAGCTGTGAAATCAATCACCTTCAGCAGAGGGAAGCTGGCAATAAGGGTGGAGTCCAGCTCTTCCACAAAGTAGAGAAGTTCAACCAAGTGAATGTCTGCCTTGCTTAGCTTGTTGCCAACAAGGTAGTCTTGCCCGTGGCTCTTTAACACCTAGCAAATCAGAAGACATAGGATCAGGAACAGATACACAGTCAGGCTGGTTCTCCACCAGTCCTATTTTCCCACCCTGCTGCCTTCCTGGGCAGTTGGAGAGCTTCAGACCTATCTACCTCACCCCTGATTCAAAGAGAGAGAGGATGTGGGTTTCAGCTGTTTTTTTCAGTTGAAGCCTAGACTAGAGTTTTCTTTTCTCATTCCCACATTACGGTGACATTTCAAATCTCCAACTCCATTACTTTCATCTTCCATAAGTGCCAAGGACTCAGTACCTTCTGTACCATGTATCTGTTTATCCCACCCTTTAAATGTGTGCAGGCTTGAAGCTTCAGGTTATGACTCTCCATTCTTCTCTCTCCCTTGGGTAGCATCTCTTCATGACTGCATTCTTCACCTCCTGACCAGACTACTCTTCTTAACAGCATTCTTCACCCCCTGACCAGACTACTTCAGAGTCTACATTTCTGCTCTTATGTAGTCCCTCATTTCCTGGTCTATTTCTCTGGGATATGAAATAAACCTGTGTCGACTTGAATGCATCATATTCCTTGCAATATTGGCTTTGATCCCTAACTTACCTGTGTCTGTAAATATACTGAATTATATTATAATCCACGTACTGGAGTGTTTAGGGATGAACTGCACTGATATTGTAACTTACTTTGAAATGCATCAAAAAGTAAAAAATTTTAGATGGGTAGAGGAATGGAGAGATGAAGAGACATGATAAAACAGACATAATAAAATGTCAATTTTGGAATCTAAGTGATGCATATGCATGCATTCATTGTACAGTTCTTTCAACTTGTCTGTGTATTTGAAATTTTTCAATAAATAATAAAATGCTGGGAAAAATATGTAATATTTATTGCATATTCCAACAATATGCAAATCATAAAGAATAAAGACAAAAACATACATGATGTTACCACTTAAAAATAAACCATTGTCAACCACATTGACAAATATCCTTTCAGACTATGTCTCCATATAGAAGTATATATAATTATTTTATACAAAAATAAAATAAAATATCAAAAGCTAATTTGTAATTACATTTGTCATTTAAATTTTCATGGGGCTGTTTGCATTTCTAATTGTAGATGCACTTAATCTGTAATGCTGTACAGCTAGTCATCTGTGACTATGCCCTAAACTGTCAACATCATTAAAGTCATGAAGGCCTATTAGTTTATTACTATTAATCTCATAGCTCTTTAGATAGGGCCTGAGACACAAGGAATGAATTAGCATTTGTTCAATGAATGAAAGAATCATCAGTAGATGAATGATTAGATGTTAGTCCTTTATTTATTTATTTTCCTTTAAGCCTCGAATACCTCTAGGAGCCCTCATGGTTTAGTAGTTAAGGCATTTGGGTACTAATCACAGGTTAGTGGTTTGAACCCACCAGGCACTCAGCAGAAGAAAGATGAAGCAGTCTGCTTCTGTACAGATTTATAGCCTTGGACACCCAATGTGGGTTGTTATGAGTCAGATCAACCCAATGGCAGTGAGTTTGGTTTGGTTTGATATCTCTTATGGAGGAGTCCTTGGATGCCTAAAACAGTTAAGCACTAGGCTACTAACCAAAAGTTTGGCTGTTCAAATCCACCCCAAAGAACCTTGCAAGAAATTCTTGACATTCTACTTCTGAAAGATCACAGCCATTGAAAACCCTGTGTATTGCAGTTCTACTCTGAAACATATGAGGATACTATGAGTTTAAATCGACTCAAGAGCAACTGATTTGGTTTTTTATTCTATCTTTTATGGAGCTATTGATGATTTACATAGTTAACGTACTTGGCTGCTAACTGAAGGTTGGAGGTTTGAGTCCATCCAGTAGAGCTTTGGAAAAAAGACCTGGCAATCTACTTCCAAAAAATGAGCCATTTAAAATCCTATGGAACATAGCTCTCCTCTGACACATATGGGATCACTATGAGCACTTCTGAAAGAATTGGCCAGGGAAAACCTTATG